ATGCCTGAGCGATCTGGGGTCGGACGGGGATGCCTGTTACCATCGCAGGTCTCCAATGTGTCGTTGAAGAAGCGACTCCCTCGTGACTGGAATCCCTCCAGGCAGGCGCAGTGGGTGCTGTTCACACACGTGGCATTTGACGGGCAGATTAGGTCAGGGCAGATCTCAGAGGCACCTGCTGGGAATGGAAACCAGAGTGAGCCGCCCTGCGCCGTCTGCCCCTTCCCCCGGCTCATCTCACGCCCTGCGGGCCCCTGCCCATGCGCTCCCGGCAGCTCTTCGGCCCCTCGTCTCCTACTCGCTCCTCAGCCGGGCTGGGGCGAGCGGGGCCTGGTCACTGGTGAGCACGGTCAGCCCCTCTCACCTTTGTGGATGGAGGGAGGGGCCTGGCTCCAGCCAGATGTAAGGCAGGCAAGGGCTGTGAGTGCTCTGCAGGACGGCTCTGCTAACGGTCTGTGTCCTGTCCCATGGCCCAACCCCCACATTTCTCTCCTGGGCTTCCCCATTTCCACAGCTCTGCTGATACCCCTCAGTCCTGACCCACAACCCCAGCTATTCTAGCCCTGGGACTCCCCCCAACCACTCTGACAGCCGCACCCCCAATCTGGACCCAGACCTGAGCTCCACACCCAGGCAGAGCTGTGCCAATAGGTCTCAATCCCACCCCAGCCCTGCTAGGCCAGCTGGCTAGCACTCCAGTCCCTGCTGTCTGCTCCCCAACCCCTGGGCAGAGAGTGAGGCCGAGTGACACCATCAGAAGTTGTGGGACTTGGCAGAAGACTGGGCAGCAGGAGGAGTCATGTTTAAAAGACAGTGGCCTAGGGGCAGAGTAGAACCTGTAAGCAGAGGGTGAGACACACTGAAGGGACAAATGGACACAGAGGGGCTAAACCTCACACGGAGAGGGCCACGCCAATGTTCCCTCTAATTTTTCTCATCTGTGTGCAAAATAAACTTTGTTCTGTGCACTGAGGCATTTGAAAATGTGCACCACCCTTAGTAACACAGGCTGGTGGCTGTGGGCACACTGCTAATCAGCTGGTGGCATCTGAATCCCCCGTGGGAGACACCCAAGTGCTCAGCTCACAGGGAACACTAGGCCAGACCCTCATCGGGTGTACGCTGGCAGCACAAGGCCTTTCACTTCAGGGTCGAGGGGTCTGTGTTAGTCTCTAGGGAGTCACTGGACTCCTCGTTGTTTTTGCAGCTACAGACTAACAGACAGATTAGAGCATCAGCTTTTGTGGCTAACACCCACTTCCCCGGATGAGTGGGAGTGGAAGTTCCACAGGCAGGATGTGGATAAGAAAGAAGATGCTTGTGTTGATTGTAGGAACGAGTTAATCAAGTCAGGGCACACTTGATCCCCTCATTCACGGCATTTGGTGGGGGATGTTACTGTCCACCGAGGGGAAAGTGCCTTTGTGATGCGTTAACCAGTTCACGTCCTTCTTCAGCCCGAAATCGATAATGTTGAAATTGCAAATTATCCAGTTCAGTGTCTCCCTCAGTGAGCGGGGTTTGAAATTATTTCCTATCTACAGCCCTGTCTGACGGGGCAAGCACGCCCATCCCCCTCAGAGGCAGGGTATTAGGAGTCTGAGGCCTCTCAAAAGGTGCTTTACCCCGTGAGCATATTGAACCCAATGAATATGGCCCAATAATCGCACCTCATCCCTATGAGGCAATCAGGCCTAGTGGCCACAGTCAGTAAAAACACCCGTTCTGGAACGGCAGTGAGGCCCAGATATCACAGGGTATGTCTACACTAGCCCCCTAGTTCGAACTAGGGAGGCTAATGTAGGCATTCGAAGTTGCAAATGAAACCCGGGATTTAAATATCCTGGGCTTTATTTGTATGTTCCCATCCAGTCGCCATTTTCCTGGAAGACGTGGTGCACGCGGTGGGCCATACCGGCTACACGTGGCAGTGAAACGGCAACTTGAACTAAGTCCTTAGTTCGAATTAACTGTTACACCTCATTCCAGGAGGAGTAACAGTTAATTGGAACTAAGGACTTAGTTCGAATTGCCGTTTCAGGCTAAGGCCCAATAACCACACTTCCTCCCTAGGAGGCAATCAAGCCTAGTAGCCACAGTCAGTAAGAGCACCCCTTCTGGAATGGTAGTGAGACCCAGATATCACAGTCAATAATAACATACCCTGCTCTCATGGCAGTGGGGCCTAGTGTCCAGTCACCAGCCCTCTCCTCAGAGCAGTGGTCCTGTACCCAGCCTACTTACAAAGAAAGAGCTACTGTTTGCAACCTCCAAGACTGGTCTAAGCCAGCATCTTTCCACCTTGTCTTTTTGGGACCGTACTGTGCCCCTCGTCTGTGTTCTGCACACACGTATCCCATGTACCAAGAGCGTGACGGCACCTCCTGGCCTCGTCCCACCTCTATCGTCCTTATGTTTGGGGCATTCCAGCGAGAGTAACTGCCGGCCTGTGCCTACGGTGCACGTGCCAGAGGCGTAGCAAAGGTGTTATGCGCCCGGGTGCAAAGGCAAAATTTTCCGTTCCCCACTGCCACCGCATGGCAGGGCCCCAAATCTGACACACAGCTGAGCCCGACCCTGGGAGGAGGAGCTTGGAGCTTGTACCATGTCTTGCCCGATCCCCTCCAGTTTGAGGCTGGGCCCCGCATGCACTAAACCTCCAGCAGAGGTGGAGGAGGAGTTGGACTGGGGGAGAGAGGCCGGGGGGAGGAGGATCCAGCTGGTTGCAACAGGAAGAGGAGGAGCAGGCGAGCTGAGGGATGACAGGGGGAGTGGAGGGGGACTATATTGGAACCTCACTAGCGTGGCACCTTGGGACAACTCCCCCCCTTCCTCTGTGCCCTCCTTACTATGCCACTGTATAAAATTCACCTCTTAGGATATTTATTGTTTAACGAATTAATTATTTTACTAACTACAGACATATAAATTATAAAGTTTGTGGTTTACATTTTGTTAAATAATTTTTTCTCTTCAATTTGTTCATATCCCATTCTCATTAGGTTACATAAAAAATGTCAAATTCTTAAAATATGTAAGTTTTATAAAATACTAAATAAATAAATGTTATACACCCTAAATATCAATTCATCACTATATTTCAAGCATTTAAAACCACTGTTATAGCAAACGAGTAATGAATAAAAAGTAAAAAAGGTTTTAGCTGCGGTCCAAAAAAACCTGCCAGCAATAGGTGAAGCAAACTACAAAGTCCTAAAGAACAGCCGCATAAGGCTGAACAAACAAGTCATGTTAAATTTATGCTTAATTTTCTTTGTAATACCTAGCAGTTACAACCTATATGGTTCAAATGTGTTTATGCTTTAATAAACCAAGTTTCCCAAAAATGTAATTCCACAGGTTGCTAAATATGTGCTCACTGTTCTGTCCATTCAAAAGAAGGTTTTGCAAGGTGTAGTTTTAGTACTGACTATATTCTTTTGTGTTTATTTTTGTTTCTTGTTAATCAAATGCTGTATTTCTTGTATTCTAAAAAACACAAAACAAACCCTTACTAAAGAAAATGTAAAAGTAATAACGTTATAATACAATAAGCAAAAAAAAACCACCCCAAACTGTACATAAATACTTTAATAAAAATAAAGGTATAAAATGGTTTCAAGGTTAGCCTTTGAAAGGCTAGAAGTGGGGAGTTGTGGAAACCATTTCATATTTAGCTAAAAGCCATCTTGTATAACAGAAACCATTTCAGCTTTCTGCTTCTGGACATATACCAAAGTAAACTTTCTGTTACCCCAGAACAAAGGCCTGCAAAATAAGCTATTGGTATGTGTTAATTGGGCTGGTTAAAACAAAAAATGCATTCCCTTATACCTGTCCACCATCTTGCTAATAAGGCTTTGTTTTTCCAAGTTTAATTAATAAGTTATGTAATTAAATGCCCTAAAGTCAGACTGTTTGGTTAAGGGTATAAAATACTAGGATTAATTGTGTTGAGTAGCCTTACTGGGCCTGGCTCTGCTGGGACCACGTTTGGCTCACTTTGCTTTACTGATCAATAAAGCTGTCTGTTTAACTGCCTAACCTGAGTGAGGCTGCAACGCCCTCCCAGAGCTCTGCCTCCCTGCTTTAAATTACTTATTTCACCAACTACAGACATATACGTTTTGTGGTTTACAGTCTGTTAAATATTTGTTTTCTCTTCAATTTGTTCATAGCCCGTTCTCATGAGGTTCATGTCTTTTATATAAAAAATGTCAAATGCTTAAAATATGTAAGTTTTATAAAACACAAGAGAAATAAATGTTATACACCTTAAATATGAATTTCATCACTATATTTCAATCAAGCATTTGAAACCACTGTTATAGCAAAGATTTTGAGCGTATCAAACTTACTGTAAGTATCTATAATGCTTCCTAACTTCCTAGTTACTTACCTCATTCACCTAATTGTTTTTCATACTATTGCACAGTGATAAACTACATGAGAGTTATGAATTACGAGATTAATTTACCTGTTAAAATAACACTCAGAAAAACTTTGAAATAAAATACAAGAATCGTCCTCACTTTCCTGAAGTCTCTTGAAGCAGTAAGTAGCATGAGGCTGAGGGTACACTGCAAGCCTGACTCGGTCTGCCATGGGGACTTTTTCCTTCAGGCTGCCATGAGATTCTATCCTTAAGTAAAAGAGAAAGGTCTCTAGGAGCTGCTCTACCCTGAATCGAAGGTAAGGCTGACCGGAACCAATACCAAAAGGGCATCAGGGTCGGACTTAGTATGTGGGGCTGCTGCCTGAGGCTAGCCGAGGTCTGTGCTTAAAGGGACCCGACCCCCCATCTTGGACAGACAGGGTATGTCTACACTACAGCACTAATTCGAACTAACTTAATTCGAATTAGTTAATTCGAAGTAAGCTAATTCGAATTAGTGCATCTAGACCTAAAAACTAATTCGAATTAGTGTTTTGCTAATTCGAACTAGCATGTCCACATTGAGTGGACCCTGAAGCGAAGTTAAGGCTGGCCGGAACCAGTGCCAGCAGGGCATCAGGTTAGGGCAGTGGTCCCCAACACGGTGCCTGCGGGGGCATTTGTATGCGCCCGCCAAGTGCTCGGGGCTGGCCTGGCCCCAGGCACGTGGCGCATGCATGGTGCCGGAGCCGGCCCCGGGCGCGTGTCGCACGGTGAGCGCCGGCCCCGGTGGTGCCGCGGATTCACCCCCCGCGGCGCATGGGGGGGGAGAAAGCGCTAGCGCCGGGCGTGCGGCTCTTGGGGAGAGAGCGCTAGCGCCGGCCCCGGGCACGCGGCGCTTGGGGAGAGAGCGCTAGCGCCGGCCCCGGGCGCGCGGCGCTTGGGGGGGGGGCCAGCCCCGGGCGCGTGGCTATGGGGGGGGCCCCCGCCCCCTGGCGCCCAGCGGGCAAACGGCCACGACCCCTGGCACTCGGCCATCAGCCCGGCTGCACTTGCCGCAGGCTGCCATCCGGGGGAGTCAATCGGGGGGCTGTCAGGATCCAGGAGGCCCTGCAGGAGAGCTTCCACCCCGAGGAACCTGCAGAGCCACCCCAGTCCTCCCCATCGGGGCCTCGTGCTCCATTCCTCCCTCACCTCCTTCCACTTACCCCTCTCTAGCCCCCCTTCCTGATGTAAAAAATAAAGGACACGTGTGTTCAAAAATAGAAACTCTCCTTATTTAACAAAACTGGGGATGGGGATAGACCTCTGGGGAGACTGGGAAAAGGAGGTGGGAGAGGGGAAGAGAGAGGGTGGGAGAGGGGAGGTGGAAACCTGGGAGGACGGAGCTGGAAGAGGGAAGCCAGGGGAAGAAGGAGAAGGGGAAGTATAAAACTATGATACGCCATATCTTCAGTACTGTGTACAGATGTGGTTTCCTCACCTCAAAAAAGATGTTTTGGCCTTGGAAAGGGTTCCAAAAAGGGCAACTAAAATGATTAGGGGTTTGGAATAGGTCCCATATGAAGAGAGGCTTAAGAGCCTGGGACTTTTCAGCTTAGAAAAGAAAAGACTGAGGGTGGATATGATAGAGGTCTATACAATCATGAGTGGTGTGGAGAGGGTGAATAAAGAAAAGTTCTTCATTAGTTCCCATAATATAAGGACTAGAGGACACCAGATGAAATTAATGGGTAGCAGGCTTCAAACTAATAAAAGAAAGTTCTTCTTCACAAAGCAAATAGTCAACCTGTGGAATTCCTTGCCACAGGAAGCTGTGAAGGCTAGAACTATAACAGAGTTTACAGAGAAGTTAGATAAAGTCATGGAGGTTGGGTCCATGGAGCGCTATTAGCCAGGGGGTAGGAACGGTGTCCCTGACCTCTGTTTGTGGAAGGCTGGAGAGGGATGGCACGAGACAAATGGTTTTGTCATTGTCTTCGGTCCATCCCCTCCAGGGTACCTGGTGTTGGCCGCTGTCAGCAGACAGGCTACTGGGCTAGATGGACCTTTGGTCTGACCCAGAACGGCTATTCTTATGTTTTAAGCTCAGGGTCGGGGGTCTCACTGGACCAACTTGATTTTCATGCAATCCTGCTCCTGGGTTCGCATGTGGTCTTTGGTGGGCAGGCTGGCAGCTATTCTGTCCTAGACGGCCACTTTCCTGTTCCCAGTGCGGAGATTGTGGACGTTAGAGGGGTCCCTCC